TATTAAAATTTAAATGATTTTATTTCCACAGATCATTTGTTTGGTTTTTATTATTTTTTGTTTTTCCCGTTCAAGAATAGTGTTATTACTATTATTTTTATACAACCATCCGTTACAGCTACCATAGTCGTTGTCAGGTAATATGATGTGATTTCTTATATAGTTAGTTAGCCTATAAGTTTTGTATGATTTTAGTCTTGTTTGGATTGAATTGATTAATTGAGTTTTTGTTATAAAGTGTGGTTTTTTAAATTTCTTTTTAATGTTTCATTCAATTAGAGTGGTTTTCTTTTTTTAATTATGGAGTCTCAGTTTTTTTTTTTCGTATATGGTCAGTTTCGAAAAATATTTTTTCTTTGTTTAATTGTTTTTTATTTTGTTTCATACTCTCAGTTGACCAATTATTATTATTATTATTTTATTTTATTTGCAAGTAAAGCGCGTTTTTTTTTTGTGTTCGGACTTTCAAGAATATACTTTTTGAATTTTGGTTTTTGGACTTTTTTTAGTTTCTCATCATCTAAATAGTTCAGGTCGCTTCTTCTAACTAATTTCTGGGGAAGCCTTTTATGAATTTGAAGCGGAGAGGGAAAGAATGATGTTTCTACGTTTATTTGTATTTTATACAACATGTTTACCTACAGAAAAAAAATAAATTTCTCAATTTTAAATGGGCTATCTTTTACTTTCTTTTTTTTTATTTGCCATGGTGAGGTGAGTTCTTTTTTGGTATAACTTGAAACCTATGCAAATTTACACTATTTTCATTCTCATATTTGTGATCAACCAATTTCATCAATTAACCAGTTTCAAAATTATATTTTTGATATTTTACTACTTATAAACTTTTGGAAGAAATAGTTTCAACAATTAAGCGTATACTCTTGGGAGGAAGCTTACTACAAAGCTATTATAAATCTCCAAAACTAAGTATTGATTTGGCACAACTGGAGAATATCAATAAATTATCTTACTAATATTTAAACTTATTAGGATGCTTTTATATTTTTTCTAGCATTTAATTCAAGACATATATTTGATCAAGTTTATTTATATTTAAGAAGTAACACTTATAAAACATTTCTAAAATCTTCAAACATTTCTAAAACGTACTGGGTCAAATACAATTTCTTTTTATGCCAAATATAAACTTTTTTATGATCACACTTATAAAACATTTCTAAATTCTTCAAACATTTCTTAAATATATCGGGCCAAATACAAAATATTTTTTTTCCAAATACAAATATTTTTAAGATATACATATATATTGGGCCAGGGTCGCGCATTGCGCGACCAGACATCAGTAGTATATATATATATAAAAAAAAAAAAAAAAAACTCATCCTAAAAGCTCCACGTGTCGATCATCTATCAATTGTATAAATAAAGCCTCAGTTCGTTCTCACCTTGGAGGATTAGCATGAAATGGAATGTGTCACTGTTAGCATAATTAGTGAAATAGAATTATGATGAGATAGGATTAGAATATTTGATTGAATTTAGGTAATTAATATTGTTGATTTGATCTTATACAGCAGTTATTGTTATTGATAGTATAGGAATCAATACCCGTCTTGTACAACTGTTCTAGTATATCTATTTAACTAGATGTTATCTATACGTTCTACGGTTAGAAGTACCACATTTTAAATAAATATCACTTTATAAACATATATCTATAAAAACATATATAATATGGATTTCAAGTATCATTAATCTCGAATAAAGTGGTGTTCATAAAATATAATTTGCGAGAGAGAGAGAGAGTGAATCTAACTTTCATTGATTAATACTATAAAAGAGATGATTAAATAAAATTATTTTCGTTTTAAAATGGTAATTTATGCCTGTGGGCAAAGTGAAATGAAAGATTGCATACATTATCATTCATGTGTCTACTTAAGATTTTGAAGTCCGACATCCATACGTTACCCTATTCATAAGTCTACATGTTTTAGCAGCATAAGGTAGATAAGAATATTAATGGTAGATAAACATTCATTATAACATAGAAAATCATATACTTCCTCCATCCCATAATTATTGTCCACTTTGCCCAAAAAATTTTGTCTTAAAATTATTGTCCAATTTGACTTTTTATAGATTAAGTTACACATTTGTCCTTAGTAAAAAACATTATCCATAAAATCTTAGTGGTTAAACAATTATTTACGTAGGGGCATATCCGGTTGTTTAAGGTAAAATATAGTTAAGTTTGACCAAAAATAAAATCTTTCATTTTAGTAAAACTGGACAATAATTATGGGACGGAAGGAGTATAACTCTTGGAAAAACAAATTTGCCTATTTCAGATTTCTACAAGTAATGAAGTTTTACAAATCTGACTATAAATATCAAAAATCTTTATCAAAATGCATTACATGGCTTCCACAATTAAGAAAACGCTTGCCGCTTGGGATAAAGACTTAATCTGAATCAAAATATCTGGTAACCCTGTAATTTCTGCAAGAGCAAAATATCCTGTACCGAAGAACATCTTTGCAATTTGTGATGAATCGGAACATTTAGCCCTTTCTTTTCTTACATATTGACAAAAGACAACGTAAATTTGTGATCTACATACGCGTAACCAAATAAAGGCATTTTCAACCCAAATCTCGTAGGGTTTTTCTATACCAGACGGAGAAATTCGATTAATCGAAACATAATCACCCAATTCGTAGAACAACACGACCCGACAGGTCATCCTTTTATGAAAAAATTAACATACAAACAAATGGGGAAAAACCATGAACACGTACTTACATGGTTTTGTGGAAAAAAAAAAATTTGGAATATGGCCGAATCAGATTATCAATCAATTGTTATTTGGAGTGGTCCTTCAACATCACCAACTTTCTCTTTGTGTTCAAACTGCGGTGAACTCTTCCATCGCATCAAATTCTCGAGCAAGAAAATAAATCAATCGATGGCCTTTCAAAATTTTTAATAGACTGACTCAACATAGTATGATTTAAAATTAAAAAAAACTTCCAACCAGAATAGAAGATTTGGGTAAGATAAGATTTGATTGGGTAAGATTTACTTCAGAGTATTTGAAAACAGAATCTTCTACAGGATGATTACTTAAGTAATATATCTTTTTTCCTTAGAGTTTTTAACCGAAAATAAAACTTTTTTTCCTTTTTAATAAATCAAAAAATGGAAAAAATTGCTAGTCTTACGTGGCAAGTGGAAGATTATCCCAGTTTCTTCTCTTTGAGTTTTCTATTATTAAGTTATATAGATAAAATATTAAAATACACAAAAATTTCCACTATATTTGGTTTCTTCTAATAGTCACAATTCTCGGCCTAATAGTCACAACTCACAATATATATATATATATAAATTAATTAACACCGCATGTAGTAATATGTTTTATACTATAAATCTGTTGTAATAACATAAGGTAAGATCATCGGCAAATTGCACTGCTTTTCGTACGTGGTGAACATGCATATGCATGGATGAACCTCCAACGGTTCACCAGTTTTTATGGGTTGTGGAATAGTAAAAAACTAGCTAATAGCATTCTTTAATAGCCATTGGTTTTTCTCCTCGGCCTACAATCTCCACATTGTTCATTTTCCTGTCTCTAAGCTTTACCTGGTTACTACTTCTTACTGCCTTTTCTTAGAGTTTGCTCAAATGAGAAATTGATTTGCAAATCTCAACTAAATCAACTCTCCGGTATTCGAATTTAAAAAAAAAAAAAAAAAAAACCTCTTCGGTATTCAAAATCACTGTGGTGCCATAGCTAATTCAAATTTGAACCAAATATCAAAGTATATAAATACTTTGGGCTTTCATCTCAAAACCAATTGACAATGAATGGGGTGGACTTTGACACTTATATACTGAGTCACTTCTCTTCACGGTGGCGATGTGGGAGAAGATAATACACCTTAACACCCTCCCTCAAATTCAATGGGTTTTTGAACTTTTTGCCCAATGCACTTGGATCAGGACAAGAACATAATAGCCCACGAGTCAACGCTCAAGCGGGAGAAAGCCAATAATACTGCTGGATGGGTCCACAAATAGCCCACGAGTCGACGCTTCCCACATCGATGTCGTGAAAGATCTGTCACATGTTTATAAGTGTCAAATGTCAACCCACTCATAACCAATTGGTTTTGAGATGAGAGCCTAAGGTGACTTTGACACCAAATCTCTCTTTTGCCTCCTAATTATACTAGCATTTCATTAATTTTCAGGTACGACATACATTTATGCCAATTCAAACTGATACTATCAAATTTGAGAGTTACTAAAATGAAGACATACAATTACAAGTATACAAAAAAAATTTCCTTACATTTTTGTCATGTTGTTAATATTATTTACTTTCAATAACTTTCTTTTTCTTTACCGCTTAAGTAACTTTTGCAAACTTAGAGCCGAAGACAACAGCTGATTGCTTACATGCACTCATGCAGACGTGGATTTGGTGACAAGGCTTCATTCCAGAAGCATCTCCAAGATTACAGCGGGATGAGGTAGTCGATTAGGGTTTATCATCTATGTTTAGTTATTATATAAGGAAGTGTAAATCATTTGCAGAGGTTTTTAGCATTTTATGATGAATTGATCTCCTTCCTTAAATCTTGTTGTGCTGTCTTTTTCTATACGCTCTCACCTTTGTCTTTTTCTTCCTCTTTTCTCTATCCTGGTCTGTCTTGTCCATCTTTTCTTAGTAAGATTCCTCCTTTCTTTTTCCTTTCTACTGCTTGGCTTGTTTGCTCATTTCGGCTAAGTATTTGACCGTTAAAAACTTAATATATCAATCATCCATCACAATTTTTCTATTTAAGAACACGCCGAGTCTATGAGAGCACGATGGTCAATGGTCAGATAAATCAATCCATAACCATTCTACACCTTGGGCCTTCAAAACTTGATTGGACAACCACAATGCCATTTTATTTGGACCTCAACCATTTAAGGATAACTTTAGGGTTAAAATTGGGCCAACTCAAATTTTAGTTTAGCACTTCCCACCTAGAAAAAGAAATTTCAAAAAAAATTCCAAAATGAAAACTAAAAATGTCACAGTTCCCGATTTGCTCTATTTGAACTAGTTCAACGATGGGAAGACAGACATTGAAACCCAACTGAACTGTCCCTTTAACCGTAAATCCCCGTTTTCTCGTTTTTGGCGGGTACCCAATTCTGTTTTCCCGCTCACTCTCCCCCAAGATTTTTCAATAACGCTTTCCTGTACAATCAGATAGAAAGCTCCATCAATTCGAGGGTTTTCACTAAACAATTTGCTTCCTTTTTCTGCTAAGACAATAAAGATGATCGAAATGCCAAAGGTTGCGGCAAATAACGGCGCCGCCGACGGTGCGGCGTTGGCTTACATGGGGAACGAGGAAGATGAAGAAGAGGAGGAGGCGCCGGCGGCGGATAGAAGTGGAAGCGTTGGCGGGAGTAACAGCAACGGCAGCAGCAAAGGGAAGAGTAAAAAGTCGCTCGATCGAGTCAAAGGGCCGTGGTCGCAGGAGGAGGACGCGATACTGGGCCGGCTGGTCAACGAACTTGGCGCTCGGAATTGGACCTTGATTGCCCGAGGGATTCCGGGTAGATCGGGCAAGTCTTGTCGCCTTCGCTGGTGTAATCAGCTTGATCCCGCCGTCAAGCGGAAGCCCTTCTCCGGTAATTGTCTCTTACTTGTTACGATTTGCTAATTTCACTTCCACTTCGATCATTTTTTTTTATTTCAGTGAATTCGCCTTTTGGTTTTGTGAAATGTGGTTGAGTTTTCAATGTTGTGCGGCCGGAGTGGCGGAATCGCTTGTTTTTCTGTAGCTTGGAACTTCTTAGAATTTAAATAGTTAATTAAGTCTTGCAATTTTTACATATGTATTACACTACTGTATTACACCCTATCTGGTAGGGACAAAAAAGGGTCCTTTGGAGAAGCAGCTTGTAAAGTTGTACCAGTTTGATGCTTAATATTCATACTGTCCTGTGCAGCAAAGTGGCAAATAGAATCAAACTTATGACGAAGGAGTTGGCTCTTAAAAGGAAACATAAGAACTCAAAATATTCATAGAACGCACATGGTTTTTTGTGGCTTCTCTTTTTTTTTTCTTTTTTTTTTTTTCCATACCGAATCACATATAATCATTTTGCTATGTTAGTCAAAGAAATAAGTTGAACTGAAATCTTTTGGAGTTTTTACGAAAAAGTTCAGAAACAAAACCCTTTCCTGACATGGAAGGATTACAGTCTAGTGGTCTAGGGAACAGAAAGAGTGATTTTTTAAGTTTTGCAATTGTGCAGGGCGTTTTTGATTCATCATTAGGTGGCTGAGTGCACTAATTATATGGATCCTTAATAGTTTCTGGCAGCTTGTTGGGAAACTTTAAAGTTTGCAAGCGAAATAGCTAACAAATCTAAACGGTTTTTGACACCTTGTAACTGTATAGATGCACCTGAGTTTGGTGATATGTTTCTGACCATTGTACTCTTTGGTTCTCCCTCAGGCAATTAATTTTAAAATATATCTCTTTTTTCCCCCTAGAGGTTGACCATTTTGGTGAAATAATAATTGCAGATGAAGAGGATAGCATTATTCTTCAGGCTCATGCTGTCCACGGTAACAAGTGGGCATCAATTGCACGGCTATTGCCTGGGAGGACTGACAATGCAATTAAGAATCATTGGAATTCTACACTTAGGCGGCGATTTATGGAACTTGACAGATTAAAATCTGATTCCTGCAATATGATTGACGATGTAAGTGCTGATAAATCAAAAGCATCCTCTGACGAGACTCTATCATGTGGAGATGTCAGCTCTTTAAAGTCCTTGGAAGGTAAAGATGTGAGTTCTCAGGAAAAAACGGACGAAGAGCATCAAAAGATGGACTACGAGCATCCAAAGACGGATAATGAGCATCATGGCAACAAGACTGTAGTTAATCCGCAGAATACTTCTGAACCAAAGGATCCACCTTCCTTGTTCCGTCCTGTAGCTCGGGTTAGTGCTTTTAGTGTTTACAATTCTTCAGATGTTATGGAAACTTCGAACTCAGTTGCAAGACAGGCTTGCTGCAAAGGACTGACCAATCAAGTGTTGAAACAAGACACTGGGATCAACAAATTGCTTCAAGCAGCATATGTTGATCCAATGATCCCTCATCAATGTGGTTACTGTTGCTTAACTAGTCCTAGCCGAGGAGATTGGGGAAATTCTTTGTTAGGTCCTGACTTTTCTGACTACTCTGAGCCTCCATCCTTCCCAAGCCATGAGTTAGCCACCTTAGCCGCTGATATTAGCAATGTTGCATGGTGTAGAAGTGGATTAGAAAATTGTAGCATCTCAACTAAAGATAGCTCCGGCAGTGAGCTAATGCTTAGTAATTCTCATTTACAGTTAGGACCTCCTGAATAAGGGAATTAATGGCAGTTAAGAAGAGGGGATTTGGCATATAAGTGGGCATGACTGCTGTTTGCTGGCTAATAGATTCTTCTGTGCCAAACCAGGGTGAATTGATTCTGATGTATTGCTATGTTTCATACGTGAAGAAGTTAGCATAATCTTGACAAGGTTGGCCTCACTTATCACATGTGTTGTGCTATAAAAGTGATATTGGAGAAATGTAAGCTGCATCCGAGAAAAGGACACCCTGCTCTAGTTCCCATGTGATTTTAACAGAAAATATTGATTGTTTCCTGGTGATAAACGGGAAGTTGTTCCCTTTACTATTCTGAAGCAGCTGCACCAAATTTTTTGTAGGATGAATTCCTTTTCCATTATGGAACCTCTGATGTTTCCTTCTACCATTTTATCCTGTAAGATAGAATAATATCACTTTTCTGGTTTATGTTATCGCCTACTCACAGTCTTGTTGAACTTTCCCCCAGCAGTTGTGAGACAAAAATTTGGCTAGAGTTACTATGGAGAAAAATAAACCTCTTGTATCTTGGTTTAGCTTCACTTTCTTTTAGCTCTTTGCTTTTAGATTCCTGATTCTTTCCTTAATAGAGAGGATGCAGTAACTTGGCTATTCCATTTGAAGAAGCCTGTTACTTTCATCTGCATTATGAGTTTAACAATGTGACTTGCTTGTGGAGTGTTTGGTAAGAATTGACTTTACTGACTCTTTTCTCTTTCTATGAATATTTTCTTGACATGGGATGATTTTCGTATGCATTCTTTTGTTGTGACTGCAACAAATGTACCTTCTGGCCCTCCAAATTGCTATAGGCCATGCACAGTGGAGACATCTTGGTTAATCTTCTTCTGACTTACATGTTCATATTCTTGATATCATTTACTTCATTGGCACTATTTATAGCCTCTGAAACAGAATTGAATTTTTTTTATGGGGAGTTTAACCTAAATAAAGCCTCCATCATGTGTTAGCTTGGAAGAGGTTTCTGCATTCTGTCGAAGAGATTTTTGTCCTATATCAGAATGTCGCTCATCGAGTCTTTGACTTTGTAATCCAATGTGGGATAAAATCTCTAACTCTTGCAATGAGTGATAACATAGATAGAGAAAAACTTCATTAGGTTAGTGAAGATGTTGATGTTGTGGTTAGTCTGCTTTTGCTTCAGTGCATGTGGTTTGGCAAACCACCCACCCCACTGAACTACATTGATATCATGGACATTGTTGTCTCCTTATGCTTTGTGTTATTCTTTGCTTGGCAATGGTAACACTTTATTGATTTTGGATTAAGCCAAAATTAACTACTCCCTCCGTCCCATAATTATTATAATTTGGCGAAAGCAACATGAGTGAATGAAGCTATGCAGAAAAAGTTCAGAAATCCTATTCCTTACCCCTTTTGCTCTATATATGATATGATAGAAATTGGTTTAATTTGGTTAAGTCGTTGGCTACCTTGCCGCGAAAATGGCTGGTGGTTTGGTGGTACCTCTTAGTTCATGATCTCATGATCCACATTCGAATGTTGTGTTGTGCTGGTGCCCTTTACCTCTTTTAATTAGATGTTTGTATCTTGAATGATTTTGATGATTTTGACTCTCTGTGGAGTCTGTAGTAATCGTCTTCAAATGGTAAATGCACTTAGAGCATAATTGCGGACCATAATTTGTGATGTATACTTATCTAACTCAAAAAGTTTCATGACTAAACACGAAGTTTATAACTTCCGACCAAGGAGAAACCAAACTTGTCCTGATTATCACTTGAAAAGAAAAAAAAATTATTAGTATTAGCATCTTAGTTCTTAGATTAGGTAGCAATGAATGTGTAATGTCCCAATCTAAGGAAATACCACGTTAATTTTCCTTACCTTATTTTGGGCAGATTCTTTTACTTAGTACTATCATCAAATGCGGGGCCCACCTTGGTGTTACTTTTTTTAAGAGGTTCACGCAAAGGCCCAAAAACACACGTCAATCACGTTACGTGGGATACCAACGTAGTTAATGTGTAATATCAATTTATATTTTTCTTATCAATTTATATTTACATTTATCGAAAAAAAAATTTATATTTTTCTTATCTCAGAAAAATAATTTAATTTCAAAAATTAAACTTATAAATTTAATAGCTTGATCTTTCAAATTAATATAAACTTCATTAGAAGACCATGTGTAGTATTATCAATTTTATTATAATTTTTTGGATGTTATAAATCTCATAAGTCTAATTATAATATTTTAATTTGAAAAAATAATTTTTTTTTGGGGGTGGTTGGGGACTGACTACTGAGTATCAAATTGTAGTGTATTGACTACGACCAGACTTCAGTTAGCACAGGCTGCAGAGCTTCGGGGAAGAATAAAAGAGACTACGGTCAATGTGTTGAGATTGACCTGTCTATGAACTGTTTGCTTATAGTATGACAATAGGAGGAGTGGAAAATATACATAAAAAACCCAATGTCATTGGATATTTCATTGTTTTTATCTTCTTTTTTTTTTTCTTTTGAAGTAGCTGAATTAACTCCTCCAGAAAAGTAAACAAAGGCAAAGGAAAGAAAAAGAACAGGGCAAGATTAATACATGGAACGTAGTCATTGCACAATAACTCATCACGAGAATTTGGTTTATAATCATTTATGATACCATTTACTTATTCTGCTTTTCTGGTTTTTCTTAATTAATAACTTTCGAAGATACATTATAACAAATCTTAAAATAGAAATGTTACGCGCAAAATAAATATCCAGACAAAACAATACTAGTATGAGCGAGTGAATCCTAGTCACCCCGAAAAATAGATTTGATTTATCTATATTCTATACTATTAATAGTTAATACTAGTAGATTGTAAACAAACTATAAAAATAAAAATTATGAGAAAAACAAATAAATAAACAAAATGAAACCTGCGGGTCTCTCTGTGTCTCCTCTGCTCCGTTTCGTCTTAAAGAGTGCTTTTCACATTTAAACGCTTTCTTAATTTCTGTCAAGTTTCCCTCCCCATTACTGCACATCTTCACACACACTGACACACAAATTTCCTCTCCTTCTCTCTCTCTCTCTCTCTCTTCCAATGATTTTCAGGTAAATGACAGAAACAGGAAGTTGGAAGGGGGTTACCTAATCCATCACCCCCCACCTATTATTATTATTATTCAGTTTTCTCGTATTTTTATGGTCACGGGCTGGAATTATTCATGCAGTCCTAAAGTTTAATGAGCTTGAAACCGTCCCAAGTTTTGGGGTCTCTGAAAGTTTCAATCTTGAGGCTATTACTGCCCTTTTAGAATCACTTTATAGTTTATACTGCTTCCGATTCATTCTAATGGCGGCCGTACAGATGTTGTCACACGAGGTGGATTTGGAATGCGGCCACGGCGGCGTCGGCGGTGGTGGTGGCCACTCTGTTCCTGATGATGATGATGACAGCAGCGTCTGTTTCTCTGACGCTGAAGACGGTTCTTGCTGTTCACAATTCTACTCAACCGCGGACGGTGATGGGTCCCATGATGATGATGAAGAGATCATCTTGGAGGCCATGGAGTCCCGGAGAGTGTCGTCTGTGGCTGATTCCGATTGCTCGGTTGAAATAATGGAGAGCAGGGTTGTCCAAATTAAATCTTGTTTGGCAAAGTCTGAAAGAGATTGCCGGATTTGTCATTTGAGTTTGGAGAGTACAGAGCCTGAGTCTGGCATTGCCATTGAATTGGGGTGCTCTTGTAAGGATGATTTGGCTGTTTCTCATAAGCATTGTGCTGAGGCTTGGTTCAAGATCAAAGGAAACAAGTGAGTCCCCAAAACAAAACAAAAAGTTGTTTTCAGTTTTTGGTTTGGCTTTGCGTCTTTCTTGCGTTTTCTCCTGGCTAAAAGGATTGTGTTTTGTTTAGTAAATCAATGTTCTGATATTTATCTATCTAAGCACATGTTCTTGAAGGATTCTCTGAGACGTTTTCGGCTTCAATTGCTTCGATTGATTTGAGTACCTACATGTTTTTGTTTCGATTTCTGTAAGAATCTCGTGATGTTTCTTGTTTGTGGTTGACCTCTCAATTTCTCATGATTATTTTGCTTTGTCAATGTTGTGAGTATACCTCGTAATTACTAAGTCTCAAACTTCCTTTGTTTCTTTAGTGTGCATACCACTTTATTTTTCTACAATTGTCTTAGTGTAGACTAGAAGGTTGCATTATTTCAGGACGATGAAGATACCATAATGTTAGTTTAGTGGAATAAAAAGTTAACTAAAGATGAAAGAATAAAGAAAAGGGGAGAAAAAGTAAAGCAGGTGGTGGAACAGGGAGGATTGCCCTGATTTCTTATTACACCGACTGTTATCTCCTATCGCATGTTGTTGCCTTTATTCAATTAGGCTCCAATCTCGTACTTGTTATTCCATTTTCTTTATCAAAGTTCGAACCAAAGCCTTTAATTCCGTAAATTCTCTTTCTGGTGCATAAAAATATTTCTGGTTCTCCACTCCGGGGAATTTATAATGTTGGAGAGATCCTGGTTTTCTTACTTTTAGTTTGCGTCCAAGATGCATTCTTGAAGATGCATTCTTACTTCTGAAAGACTCCTTTAGGCTTTATCAATGTATTTTAAACAATGTGATTAAACCCCAACGTGTTCTACCTTTACTAGCTAGTATCTGTTAAGGTCTTCCTTAGTGACTGCGGGAATTCCTTCTGCACATCGAGTGCGACATTTTCTTTACAACTAGCAGTTATAGTTTCATCATTATTGTAAACAGCCTTGTGAAATGAACTAGCTGTTCTTAAGTTTATCTTCTAACATTTTTTCAAAGATTAACAGGGGACATCTGAATTATATTTAGGATTACATTTATCTGAAACTTGAGGAGCTTCAAATTAGTGCCAAAAACCCATTTTTAATCACCTAAAACTTCGAAAGGGACCATTGATGGACTTGCTCATGGCCGGATCTCGGTTAAATTCTGCATGGATGATTTGACCTTACAGAAACATGTATAATCTCATTAACTGGTCGGGGCATTTGACTGTGTTCTTACCGTGGATGACTATTTTGTTTGAACAATTTTGTCAATGAGTTCTGGCTGAAAGATATAGTGCTATCTCTTTTTTAGTCAATTGCTTATTAGTGCTTTGCCTTTTTCAAAATGCATACATCCTCTAGAATATGTTCCCTGCTTTTGCATGCTTTCTTTTCTCCCTTAAAGTCTGCTTGTTCTGTTTATTCCCTTCCCTTGTGACCGCCTTTTCTAGAATTATCCTAGCATATACGATGAATTTCTTGTTCAAGAATTTCATTTGTTTTGGTTATGCACAGGGTTTGTGAAATATGCAACTCAATTGCGCGCAATGTTGTCGGTGTAAATGACATAGAGTCGGGTCAGCAAAACAACGAGGCCAACTCGACGGCGACAAACACAGCATCAGAACCAGGGGAAGTGGTGGCAGGATCCCGGCGAAGCTGCCCTGATGGGCGTCTCCTCAACTTTGTCCTTGCTTTTATGGTGTTTGCTTTTGTCTTGTCTTGGCTCTTTCACTTCAACGTTCACGCATGAATAACTTAAGGTGGTCCTTAGAACAGGGCAGAGGCAGAGTAATTTAAGTGTAGAGTGGCGTGAATTCCTGGTACCAACTTCAGGTGGTCGAGATTAGAACAGGGCAGAGGCAGAGTAATTTAAATGAGCGGTTGCGTAGTAGAACTATAAGGGATTCAATATCTGGGTTGAAATCCACTAAGAGGAAGATTGTCCATCAAAAGTCAAAACCAATTTCTTGGTTCGTTAATTTAATACACCTTCAATTATCCATTTGTGTGTAGTTCAGAGCAAATGTAGAACACTCCCTAGGCTGGAAAACTAACATCCATTTTGAATGGGAGTACTCTTTCACAACAATGAAGCTAAAGAATGCATGAAGGGATTATAATAAACTCGGCTATCAGATAAGCTCGATCACCAAATAACCATGCAATTAAGACAAGTAGATGCTTCTCGTTTAGTATGTGGACTAGCCAAGCTCCATTTCAGTATTACTTGAAATCTTGAACTCTTTATCTTTAAAACTTTGTGAAGCCGAGTCCAAGTTCACTCAACTAGCTTTTTGTAGTGAACACAGGTTTACCGCAACTTGGGATCACTTCGTGTCATTTACCATCTTAGCAAAGACATTGCTGTATACTGCACTTCAGAGATACAAAGAAGAGGGACAATGCTAGAAAGAACTACAAGACGCTAGCTGACAATTTTCCAGCATGTAGATGCTATCTTTTAGACTTTATGCCTGTTTATGGTGCATGGATACTGCAGAAAAAGTATCAACAATGCATGTTCCTATCATTTTGGGCCAAACCTAAAACCACTTTTAGTCCTATCAAAGGATGACCTGTGCAATCCAAGAAGATGCAGCATTTCATGCCAGATACAAATAACCAAAACAAGATTTACCAGATGACCCATGTGTGAGCTGGCTTAAATCAAACTTTAACACATGAATCAGGCTAAGAAATCAAGAGAACTAAGAAACAATTCAAGAAAAGATCAAACACTACCACTCAGTGGCTTCAATACCTTCAACCTATTAGTGCCAATAATCACAAGACAGCTTAGCAAAGAAAAAGCGCAAAGATAAAAGTGCCATGATAATGATATTTCAGAGGAATAAAAGTTTTATTAACTGTTGCAGGAAAGGGCTATTTAATTAAGCCAGCTATTTTTTCTTCAAAGCTGTCTCAAATAACACTACATCTATTTAGTTGGTAGCACAATAGCACATGGTATTATCCCATTGGGAAGCAAAACGGTAAATCTATTTGATACCCAAAAATATGATTTCTAAAATTCCAAATTTTGCAGTCACATAGCTCATAATAATGCTTGATAATGCTGGAGAAGATTCATCACATAGGTCCTTGATTACCAAGCAACTGACCGACTAGATTTGTAACCTGAAAAATGAAAAGACAGGAAGATCTTAATTATTTACAAATCAATCCATCGAAATGGCTTTCTTTCCACTCTCGAAACCAAAGCCGAGCCTTCTATTTCTCTATTTAGGTACACACAGCTGCTAACAAAGAACAATCTCAGAACAATAACGTGCAAGAGAGTTAAGTTGTATAAGGGAAATCATGCACCCACGGTTTGTGTACAGAAATTTGAAAATTCCATGACTGTAAGTAAATGCAAGAATATCACATCAATAATATCAACTACTAAAACTCCAAAACAGAGATCAGAGTGACAAAACACTACAAGAAAATACAAATAATTCCATCAAGATGTTGAAACTTGTTCAGAAAGTGCTTTTAAAAAGCCAAAGAATGATGCACTCGTCTTTGACAGATTCAGTTGTCAAGTATAACACATCTCAGCACTGAAGAATCAACTTGCAGTTTTGATGGAGAAAGTAATTACCTGCCAATACTTTGAGACACAGCGATCAATGCAACTGTTTTCACCCATGTTCAACTCAGATTCCTTGTACCTGCAAACCAAAATCAACTACTTAACTAGGCATCACTACCAAGCAAACAACAACTATGCCAATATGACTGAAACCAAAAATTGTTCTAGACAACAAAAGTAAAGGGGAAAAAAGCAGATGTAAGACGAAGGAAGAACCAAATTCAGTACCTATTCTCAACACACTTAGCAAAACACGTCTGAGTAAGCCTGTGCCACCAAATCAAAAAGAGAGAACATCAGCAAAAACTAAACCAATAAGGCGTTTGACAATCAACTATTCAAAGTGCAAGTAGCATATATCAGCCACATATATGTTGGACAGTAAAATCAAGCTCCTGGATAAGTACATCAATAGCTTCTAGCTCCACACTAATCACAAATTTTTTCAAAGGGCAGGAGATAAGAGAAATCATCCTAAAGGGCAGGACGTAAAAATCAAGTAAGAAAACAGCTCACTTGTTAAACATTTCCACCCTGTATTCCATCTCTTTCTCTGCCATCCCAAAAATCTGCAAGATGGAGGGGAAAAAAACAAGGGGTTTCCCCAATGCTCAAATAAAACCACTCAAAGAAGAAACTAACATTAAAAATTGACCGGGAAACTCATGAAGACAAGTGAATAATCAATCAATCGAGTGAAGAATTTCACCTGATCTCTATTGACCTGCTGCGGCGTGATTCTGTTAGCTGCCATCGGATCTGGCTCCCAACCACGCAATTATTCGCGGTGTCGAATTCGAAAAATCAGAAGGTGGAAGCAGCTCTAAAACTCCCCCGATGCCCAGAAAAACCTCTGAGTTTTTTCCAATTTCGGTTTTTTTTTTTTCCCCTTTGCAGAAAACCACGAGTACAGCGGAAGGGAATTAGGGTTTTAGGGCAACCGGTTGTCCGGTTCGTTCGTTTGGTTCGTAGTGCTCAAGAAACCGATACTGACGTGGGGGTTGGACATACTTCCAAGACCCCGATGCGTGGTAAGATCGAATCGGAGCCGTAGATCTGACTTTTGTTGCAATTTACAGATTCTACCAATTACATACTTGTTTCAACTTTCAAATATACTGCATTGGAATAATAATAACTATTTTTTACTATAATTGTATTGTTTTTTCAAGCATGAAATTTTAAATTCTGAATAAATTTAAAAAAATTGCGGACACAAAATTTAATAAAATCATTATCATATCAAAATTGAACTTAATTAAGATAAACTGAAATATAAAAGAGCATAAAGATGAGTGATTTTAGGCTTAGTTATCAAAAATATAAAAGAATAATAATAGACTACCCGGGGTGTCGCCTATATTTTTAAATTAATTAAATAAAAAATATGAATCATTCTTAAAAGAATAAAAACATTAGAAGAATAAAAAATCGATTTAAAAGACAGAAAGTGAGTTATTACACATAAATCTATGCCCAGATTTATAATATTTAATTTATAATAGTTAACTTATGCCCGGGTTTACATAAATCATAAACTAATATCTACAACAAAAGAATTAAAAAAAATCATCCTTAAAAAATCAAATTTCTTTCATGACAGCTTATTTTTTCTCTGTTGTAGAAAGAGATGTATTAATAATTGATGTCAGATTTTAAGTAATTGAGTTAAAGGCCCGGATGTGAGAGGAGCGGAATGGAAGAGATTCTTTGAAATTGGAGATTAGGAAAACATTACTGGTGTTTCACTTGATTTAAGAGAATTTCCTAGTATTTGAGTTTATCAACTAAATATTGTTGTTTTAAAGGATTAGTATATACCTATAATTAAGATATTTTTATGTAGTTATAATTAAGGAATTTATATATTTATTTATTCCATCTTTTTTTCTGATTAGTTAGAGTGCCACGTGTCAAAAATGATTTTGTACTGAAAATGGCTTTTGACGGGAAAATTTTCATTTTGGTGCTGATACATGTCCTTTTTGTTTGCTGCTTTAATTAAGTACTATAGATACAAGGAAAAAATGACCAAAAAAAAATTATTAATTGTTAACTGTTTACTCGATCTTTTATCACTTCTCATATTCATTCCCTGGTTGAAAAAGTACAAACTCTAAGAACCGGTGAAAGCTTAAATTGGAGGATTTGGTTTGTCCAACTACATCAATTTCTTAAAAAAAAAAAAAATTGTATTAATTTCATTGCAATTCGCCCAGCATCTATTTACAGGAAAGATATAGTCACTAAAATATGGCAACTGCCTATACATACAATATTTAATTTAAAACTGTTGCCTTCACTACAATTTAACCGATCTAGATTTATTCGGTTAAATTCTTCTTGTCAGACATGTTATATACCATATTATGATCTCAAACATATCACTTTTCTTCTTTTCTTCTGATTGAAACTTCATTTCATAGATCTAATGATTAGATTTGTGATAGTTGCATCTTCTTGGATAAGAATCACGATCAACAATCCAGTGACTATCGATCGCCAAATGACTGAATGACTCCTACAATCAGCTTATTAGTATCTACTGAAAAACTCAGTTTATGAGTATCTACTGAAAAACTCTTAACACAATGAGTAGGTTCTTAATCTATTAACAAACTAAGCATTGCAAATCAAGGATCCAAATCGTTAGATCATAATTACCGATCATTCATATGAAGATGACTTCAGTTGTGTATAAGAATTGACTAAATCTTAGTTGACCAGAAAATATGATTTTTTCATGGAAATTATTGATATCGTAAAACATGATATCTTTATGTTCCCAGACCATAGTCTACATTTTAAAATATAAATTGTACTAAAAACAGCATACATGGACTATTGGACTATTTTTTTATGGAACAGCGGGAGTATTTACTACAAACGGCAGTAGCAAAATCCTTTGCTCGAAAAGCAGCAACTCCGTTGCTTCTTTGCGTTCAAAGTTTCTTGCCCTTTTGTCCACATTCTGGAAATATAGCTGCAGATGGCCAGGGCAACACATGAGATTCAATAGTAATTGCTAACCATAATAAGGTTATGAACATAAGGAGCACCCCTCAAGAATATCAGGGGCTGATCTAGTGTTGTTGCCCGGAGAAGCTTGAGCACATCCGGCACCAACGGAATTTTTTTTTCAGTTATAGATTTGGGATGAACATGTATAGAGCACATCCAAAATTCTTATGGGCTCAACTAAGAAAGAGAAGAAAAGTAGAAAACTATAGAATTTTTCAATTGAGATTTCATAAATTTTGAAGAAATTCCGGGCGGTCATTTGTTAAGCGGCGGTGGGAGGGTCTGATTTTACAAGGAGGAAGAAGGAATTTGGTACAAAAGTTTTAGAATTTATGTCATAAAACACTTATTCTTGTTATAAAATATTTGATTTGATTTTATTGAATATCCACAATTAATATGTATTATTTTATTCACAATCAAGGAGATATGATTATGTAATATTTAGTATTAATAGTAGATGTTTCATTTCTCACATTTTGATCTCCTTCTTGTATAAATAGGGAGTTTATTCATGCTTCAAAATACATCTGAATACAAGTCTCTTATCTCTCTCTATTCTCTTGCCTCTCCTCTTTGTTCTTATGTTTAGTTTCATATTAGTAGTCTAGCATTAATTTTATAATAATTCTAAATTTATTATAAATGAGTCTTTTTTTGTAAAAATTTTAAAGTAATTTTTCGTCTCTCCTTCGTTGTAATGATACCCCTAGCGTTCTCGAATGCATCTACATATTGGGTTCAATTTTTTTTTACTCAAATTTTCCCCCCTCTAAGGTGTAATGGAGCACATGTGGAAAAAATTTCCTGGATCCGCCACTAAGAATATCACATGCACTTACTTCCATGGTAGTCACTAATAATCACATCGATGTGTGGTATTTCTTGTGTGGTATTTTTTCGTCCCAAATGATTGTCTAAACTTTGTATTATAATAAAATAAAAATGACTACATTTTAAACAAAGGACTGTAGATATTGAAAATGTACATGAACTGGCTTAAACTTAACCCATGGTTTTAGGGTTCAGCAACTAGCTAGATAAGGGAGCAGAAATTGTTTTACTACTATTTTGAAAGATTATGAAATTTATAAACATAGAAACACGAAAGTATACTCACTTCTATGGCAGCGGCAATTCCATTCTCAAGCCACCACCAAACATGCGACGGTAAGATCAAATGCCAACCGTCGACCTAACTCTGTTGCAGCATACCGGTAAGATGTACATGCGACGGTTCTCAACTTAGTAGCAGTAGCGCGGTAAAGGGAAATAATTCTCACAGCGCTATTTTCCCATAATAATGGATATAAAAAAAAAAAAAGGATTAAGATTTGAAATTAAAAAAGGCTCAGGACACTGAGGGTACTTTGGTAATGTGGCAAGCTATAAATAAAGAAACAAAGTGTATTAGGGATAAATTGTGGCGCTGGCTGAAATTTCCAGTTTACAAATGAAAGAATTACAGATGACAAGATAGAGATGAGAACGGGGAAGAAGAAAATCGACGCCGACGGCCAAATTGTTCCGCAAAAAAAAAAAAAAAAAAGAACCCACAAGACAAGATCAATCATTCAACGACTATGTAGTATCGATAAACTTTTATTTTAGGCGTGAAAAGTGATGTGAAGTATATCAAATCAAGTAAATAACGTATTCATGCAATGTTTTAATTTAAATATAAATTTCTACATTTTCTCTTTGTACCTACACAAATCAAATGAACAACATGAGTTTTCTACCTTTAGAGCAAATTTTCTGTGTGAGGGAGATTACTCTTTCAATGTGAAAAAGACAAAATAATGTGACAACCTATGATAGCTAATGGTTCACGAACTGTGAGTCTTTGGTCATAAAAGTAAAAAAGTGGAAACCATCAATTTAGCCATTTACAAAATTGCATGACTTGCCTATCATAATTTAACAAGTACTCCCTCCGTCCCATAATTATTATCCAGTTTTACTAAAATGAAAGATTTTATTTTTGATCAAATTTAACTATATTTTACCTTAAATAACCGGATATACCCCTACATAAGTAATTGTTTAACCACTAAAATTTTATGGATAATGTTTTTTACTAAGGACAAATGTGTAACTTGATCCATAAAAAGTCAAATTGGACAAAAATTTTGGGACAAAATTTTTTGGGTAAAGTGGATAATAATTATGGGACGGAGGGAGTACTGAACATTAAAACTCAAAAGAGAAAACCATCTTCTTCTTCTTCTTTTCCCCTCTTTTCTTCATATTGGTTAAAAGTGTTCTACAAAGCTGCAGAATGACTGGGGTATACAGGGTAGGTACAAAATCTTGAAGTAATTAATAATTTAATATATATGTTTTTAATAAACTTAACACACCTATACACTTTCAGTTCTTGTTCCTTTTAGCCTCAAACTTTGTGGCTTCTTTCAGTGATTCTTGGGCATCATTCTCCATCCCAAGGCTGAATAATGCAGCTGCCTGTAGGTAAAAGGCAGTAGGCCACTCAGGTGATACTACGTGAGCTTGCATCGCATCCCCTAATGCTTCTTGAGGCATTTCGTTCATCAGGTAAGACAAACACCTTCTGGCATACACAGTAGGTGACACCATGGTTCCACCATCAATGAACTGGAGAAAGACACGAAATGTTAAACTTCTTCTGTGTAAGTTTCTGGAATTCAGATATTCAATGACTACTGAAAAAGATCCGTTTTCATGGATTACTTTTCTATTATCTTACATTCTTAGCAAGTTAATGTGTTCCAGGCTTAACTTTTGAGCCTGTCGTGAGTAAAACCATACTGTTTGTAACCTTTCAGCAGAATTGATCAAACTTGTATTGAGCTTAGAACACACCTGTGTATAACCATCAATGGCTGTAGTGAAATCCTTTGCTCGAAAAGCAGCATCTCCTTGCTTCTTTGAGTTCAGAGTTTCTTGCATTTGATTTGTCCACATCTGGAAAGAGAGCTGCAGGTAGCCAGTGCAGCATATGAGATTAAAAATCTGACGCCCACCATAATAAGGTTATAACATAAGGAGCACCCTCTGAAGAAATTCATAGTTTCTTCGGCTGTTATAACTGTTAGTACCACTATATCATATGCATTTCTTAGTATGTGGACACTAACTTGGTAAGACACTGTTCATATTTATAAGTTGCCGAAATCTAGATCATGTACATCAACTCGCTTAAAAATAAACCCATGGCTTTTGGCTGCCAATCAAATGCTCGAGATAAAATCAAAGAACAACTACGAGAGTCGATGCAGCAACTAGGTAAGGGAGCCGATCAACTTGAAATCCAAATAAGAACCTCCCGTTTGCTGGTATTAGGCAGAAATTGTTCTATTCTAAAATGTTATGAAATTTTTAACGTGAGAGTAATCACCTCATTGGCAATTCCTTCGTCATCCTTATATCCAGCCTTATCCAATATTTCATGGATGGCAGTGAGATCCATCCTCAAGCAAGCTTCTCCCATTGGAGTTAACACCATTGGTTCCACTGGACTGGCAGTACCGTGAGAAATGCCCATCAGTACATATGAAGGAACCTGGATAATAAACATATTGTCATTCTTATAAACCAAAGGAGTATAACTTCATTTTAAAATGGGGCATTAAAATCAAACTGAAGATGGGTTAAGCCAGATTGGCCTGGGGAAACAGGATTCCTTATGTGTGAATAACATAGAAGACATAAAACTGTGACATACCCTCCAACAAAAAAAAAAAAAAAAAACTGTGACATAATGTTTTGGCTTTAGAGGAGACAAGGAGTTTTGATGCAAGGGATTTATATAACTTCAGCAAAACTATGAAACAGTTTAATCATTTGTGAACAGATAATGAGAAGATGATCTGAGAAATGATGCAATGTTGTTTCACTGCAAGCATACCTCCGATTCTTTTTGAAGTGACGAGAGAGCAGTAACAAGAGATTTTGCATTTGGCCTCTCGCGTGCTTCATACTGTAAACAACGGGTGGCTAATCTCACCAAATCAGTTCCATCGTCATTAGAAAAATGTCCCTCCAAGCAAGAATCCATTAGCATCAGAAAGTTCTTGCCCCGAATGAGATCAAGTGCCTACAAGATGGAAATTAAACCTCAGCTAATTGTTTTAGAGTCGAGGGTGGTTAGCTAATAACTTCTCAATGAAATAAGTAATGCACATAATGAGTTTTGAAGATACGAGACAATCCTACTAGCCAAAGTTCATTGTTACGCTTGTCATCCCCATCATGTTTCCATGCACATCAATTTTATATACGAACAGAAGTTAGCTTACATGACTAGGTGGGATATGTTTGCCGCTTAGAAGATCCAACAACATCGTCCCAAAGCTGTATACAACACTTTCTGGTGTTACTCTTCCTGAAATGTACAGTAAGTCAGTAACTTGAGCTCAGAATCCACTCATATTGCATTTTGTGTTACAGCAGAAAAGAGTAGGGGAAAAGGTCTCAAGTTGTGTGCATGTCTGCATAAATCTATATTTGGTACAACATAACCAGATGAGAAAGCTATTGTAGATAAAACCAAACCGGCAGAAAATGAATGTCTTAATTACAGGTGAGCATAAGAGCCTCTTTCCAATGCCGAGGAGTAAGTACCGAAAGTTAAAAGACATCATCACAAAGCAAACTTTAGAATTGATTAGGAACCTGTTCTTAAGTATTCTGGAGGAGTGAAAGCCAAATTTGTGCTGTAACTTTTGCCATCTCTACTGTTCTTCATCAAGCCAAAGCAAGAGAGCCTAGGATTTCCATCCTGCAGGTTTAGAACATGGTTGAGTATTTCAAAAATAAGGAAATGATACCACATAGAACACTTTCAGATTTTTAGTAAACCATGAAATAGTGATAGCCACATCACCTGATCAAACAGAACTCTGTAAGCATTAAGGTCATGGTACAATGCCCTTCCCTTGCTGCTGCAATACTCCAAAGCTTGTGCCAAATACAATGCTACTCTCAGCCTCATTGCCCATTTCATAGGCTGATTCTCCCCTAACAAAATTTAGAGTTCAACTAACTTCAGATATAACTATAGAATAAAGATACTCTATAACAATGATAATGTAGAATCTGCAAGTTTCATAAGCTCTAAGAGACATCAGAGAAGGCTTTCATAAGTTTTGGTAGCAGCATTTGTACTAACAAGTGCTGTTATGATTAATTACAACTACATCAAGTAGAAGAATCAAATACAGATTTTGTCATTGCTTTACCCAAATTCTGCTTTCAAAGATTGTTTTCGAAGATTTATATTCCCCAAGGGCTCCAACCATGAAGCCCCAAAGAAAAAAGTTTCCATCTTTTTTAGATAAATGATCAGTCAGCATCTAGTCAACCTAAGCAACTAGTACAATTTATTAGTTCATATACTATGTTTGTTGTACTAAGTCCTAGGAAAGTGGAAGTATGGTAAGAAAGAATCTTACAATGAAATAAATGCCTGGCAAGTGTTTCATTAGGCATAAACTCTGCCACCAGCAACCTTTCTTCCCCTTCACAGCAACATCCAATAAGATTAGCCAATCTCTCACTCCTTAAGCTCCCGACCGTCCCAGCCTCATCCTGCATAACAAAATCAAACCATCAAAATGACAAAACTTCGTTGGCATTATTGCATAAAAGTTCAAACTTTTTCCGGAAAACAGAGAGTTTCCAATTGTTGTTGAAAAGAAAAAGAGAGAAGAGAACGAAACCATGAACTGGCGAGAATCTGGCCAGGCGGATTTGTTGAAGCGTTTGACGGCAATCAAACGGCCAGACGGAAGCCGGCCTTTGTAAACTACATTGGGAGCTTTTTCACCGTGCTCCGACACGATGTTTTCCGGCGAGAAACCATCCGTGGCTGCTTTTAACTCCTCAAAGCTGTAATCAGTGAAACTGGGCAGTGCATTTTTCTCATTCTTCTCCGCATTCCCGTTCTCTGTTAAAAATTGCATGATCTTCATCATCATTGACGTAACAAAGAACAATCCCAAAAAATTAATAGATAAACAGAAAAAAAAAAAAACAAAAAATACCAGCATCAGAGGAGGGAAGAACAGGAGGCTTAAGGTGGGAATGCCACCAGCAGAATGAGAATTTGGAGCAACGGGCACCCATTATTGTTTTGTATGATTCAATGCAATATGCAATTCTCCAAGAAACACTATAATCAAAGTGCTGCCGATTTCAAGACTTTGGGAACATGAAACGAAAGATGATGGAAAGAAAACTAAGAAAGTAAGAGTAGTATTATGGATGAATAAATTGAATGATGGCTCTGTCCACTCTTAACAAAGTTGATGAGACCTTTTTCTGCTATATAATAGATCCCAATAACTTTCAATATTTTGATTTAATGGAAAATATTCTAAAAATTGTTTTACACTCCAAGAAAGGTTTTCTTAACTTTGATGCCCAGTGGAAAAAAGAGAAATGACTTTCTGGATAACTAACTGCTGCTAAAATCTGTTTTCTTCTTTTCAGTAATGCAGAAACTCCGATTTATGTTAGCTTTAATGGCGCTCTCTCTTTTCTTGTGTAATACTCCTTCTGTCCCAAAATTATTGTCGAGTTTGAGATCTCACTTTTAATACAATTTAAACTAGAAATGAAAACTCAAACTGGACGATAATTATGAGACAAAATAGGGAATAGTAATTATGGTTTTCCTTTCAATTTTTCAACTCGCTTATCATTATTCCTGTATCAGTCTTTTCTTTTGTGCTTTTTCACCTCCTCTTCGTTTCTGTCACGCTCAAAAACGCCTTTTGTCACCCACAACTTTCCTCTAAATATCTTTCCTCTTTGCACCCAATTTTTTTAATTATTCAACCCTTTATTTTTTGGCCCATTAATTAAATTAATCAGGTGGGGTTGAAGATTGGAAATTTGGAAGGGTATATAGGCAGAAGCAGGGGAGGACCAGGATGGGGAGGAATTCATATAAAAGAATGAAAGAAGTGTGAGTTGTCTTTCTCATCATGATACGCTGTTGGGGAGGTGGTGCTGTTTACTGGTCAGTGGTCAAAGACAAATAACTCAGACAAAATATGCTGCTAAAATGTCTATTTGGTTGGACCTGAAAATGAAACAGTATTTGAACAAAAAGAGCCAGCCTATTACGCCTATAAATACTCAAACAGAAAAAAGAACTATTGTGGATGCTCCACTTTGTTTCAACAGGCTCTGAGTTAAGAGGAGCAAACAGTAGACGAGTCAGATCAAGCTCAAGTTGATCCTGGCTCGATCCATCTAGGTTCGAGTCACAGATTGAGCTTGATCACGACCAAGTCACCATAGTTATCGTGGTATTTGTTTCAATACTTTTTGTAACAAGTTTTACCAAGTCTGATATTGAGAAACTTCAAACTTGAATTCCATTCACCAAGTCAATATTATCTAGATTGGTATTTGTAATAAATCGACCTAAAGTCTAGGACTTGGCCTGTATTTGAAAAGTTCTCTTATTACCCTAGAATTTTTTTTATTTTTTTTTTTTGATAAAGGTTGGTAGTTCTGTTATTGGATACTAAAGAATATACTCCTTCTGTCCCAAAATTATTGTCAAATTTGAGATTTCATTTTTAGTACAATCAAATTTAAAATCATGGTTTCAGCATGATGCATTGATGTAGTTAGTGTTTCTTACCAACAAGTTATAGTACTAGAGTTTATCAGGTATATGCCTCTTTTATTTGCACCCAAAAAAAAATAAAATTTAACGACTTCTCCCAAATGTCAATGTATAATTATCCATAGTCTTATCCAGATAATAATTAATTAATCTTAGTATCCAAGAAAATATTCTCCACTAGTAACGGGTATTAGTCCACTCCACTTATCAACATGTCTTTGACTTCTACTGTCATCACGGCTCAAAGCGCTCCTTTAGGCTTTCAATCCTTTCAAAATTTTAGTCCTACGTGAACATTTTGGAGGTTTTATTAAGGTTGACATCAACAACAGTTCGAAAGCTCACATCAGGGCACAATTTGCAACGGTAATGATGAACTATATCAATCTCCATATTCAGTACCTTAAGAATTAACTTAATTGGAAGAATCAATTGCTTCCGAATATTACATCAATGGCACTAACATTTTAGTTAGTTAACAGTCTAATAAAAATGGTTCATCCGCTTCGTGTTTAACGGGTAAAAAAGGCGTTAATCGGTGCTAATGACACTTAAATATGGGTGCAAACCTTCATTGGAATTCCTTCTTTATACTTCTTAATAATCAATCATAAAGTATGACGCATGTTACCACCCCCAACCAAGTTCTGTGACAAAGGTAATTGAATTTGCTTTTATCATTGATTAATTTCACCTGATTATGATGAAGAACACGAAATTCACTTGCTGTAAAGAGAATATAGCTGGTGGGAAGGTGGAAAAAAAGGATTGAAATGGTCCCCTCTTAATGTTCCCACAGAATTTCAATTATCCCAACAAAACTGGAACCCAGATAGATAAGCCTGGGTGATCACATTATGATCAATCACTCCGCTAGCTTAAAAGAAAAAAAAAGGCCATTAACAAAACAAAAGGAAGAAAAGAGGAAAGGCCGGTGAATGATTTGTATCACCCTAACGGGTGTCAGTGAGGACCCCCTCCTTTCCCCTTTTGAGTTTTGACGAGAAAATGGACCTTATTTTGTATTCATCCACACTTACCCTTCTTATAATCATACGAAAAATTGAATTAGTGTATCGTGTTTATGATCGAGATTAAGCGAATTTTCAATTTAGATTGTCAATGAGCATATCTTAAATGAGTTTTATATTAACAACGAGTTAGATTCGTATCTACTACTATAAACGTGTCATTTTTCTATAATCTCCAGATTATATATCGTACCGTGTCACAAATTATATCACTTGACTACTCCTAAACCCCCAATTGCCACCGTTAGCTCTGCTTTTTAGCCTAAGTTAGTTGACTAAAATGTCTGGATAAAAAGGGGATCAATAGTGTCAATTAAAAGCTTAAATTACGCCAACATAAGAGTTCATCTTGTCGTGGAGAAGGGAGCTATGCATGTGGTGTTTGATTTGATACTACATTTTCCTTTCCCTAACGATTTTCCCCCACAGAGAGATGTATAAATTGGAAGATTTTGTATGCAAACAGTCTGCCATACACAAACCATATGACTTGAAACAGAAAGCACATGCCCAAACCAAACCAATTTATAACTATATAATTCCAATCTCTGCCGGGTCATTGTTGTAGTTTTCGTATCTATTCTGCCCATAATACATTAATACCAAACCAATACTGAGAAATGAGACGGAAATAAAGACTGTTGAGTGTGTTGGGCGTTGGCAAACCAAGAAATAATGGTCCCTTAAACTACCTCACATTGCTACAGCAGAACTAAGGGCTCATTCATGGGCATGTGTGGGTTTTGCTCGTTTGTCATTTATTTCACATTTAAAGAACTATTATCAATTAGGCAGGTACAAGAAATTGTTTTTTTTAAAAAAAAAAAATTTATATTATATCTCGATGTGTTAAGTTACTAATCCAGATTAATTCAAATTCGAACAAAATAGATTCCTTTCAAAAAAAATACAATTCTCTCGTCACCATTTTTTTCTTTTGTTTTTGGTTTCCCTTATGATCATAACAATTGGCATCGTAATTTATTTATCAATTTATATAAAAAATCTCACAATCCTACACAGTGCAGTCTACATAGATGACACATTTGAGGCTTTTTACAACTCAAGCCAATTGAGAGGATATGAGAACTCATTTGCCACAACTGATACCGATATAAATATAAAGTTAATCGCGCACACGTTTAGAAAGTGGTGAGTTGCAAACAAAGTTCGCATCTTTTTAGCAAAATAGCGTTTTGCCTGATGAACAAATACCCAAAAGGTAATCTATCCAACTGGGCTAATGCTGGCAATTTGCTCATTTTGCTTAATAACAATTGATTAAAAAAGTTTGTACTAAAATACCATTATCATCTCCCATGTACTAGTTTACACGCTAATTCCAGTGCATGAACAGCTATATTCTGATCCAATGCTTTATTTGGATTCTTTTATAGTGAATGGAGTCAAATGGACCGACAGAATTTTCGGGCCTATCTTCCTCGTCAAGGCACATGGGGATGATTAGATTGATTTGCTGTTGCTATTTATATATAAACAATCATTTACGAAACATGAGCTTGATTTCCCTGTGAAACACTCTACATGTGGCTTCATCAATTGCACTATCGACGTCTCATTTTAATAGTCCACTTCTTTGTATTGTTTACAATAACACCGGAGAACCAATGGTTCCAAAATGCCAGCACTCTTCTTGGCATGTGATATGAAACATTCTCCTTCTATTTACATTCTGATAAAACAGATCTGCCTCTGCCATTCCAGTTTCTTCAATGATAACACGAGGAAACAAAGCCAATAAACATTGAAAATTTAGAACAAAAAAATTACATTTTATCATAAGGAAGGAAGGATCAAGATACATCGAAGCGCTTGACTTATATTCCCAGCTGACTAGAATACAAATCAGATTTTGTACCAGAGACTAAGTAGTACCTAAATCTAATATTGCTGCCTGTACTGCAGGAGAAGCTTTGCTTCATTTCAGTCATCTACAGCCACGTCTTCAACGTCTATACACCATTCATCACGGCTTCAACATGCACCGTGGTACCATCCTCTGTTATCTTACCATTGACTTGGATCCTAGGTCTCTGCAAAGAACCAATAAATGATATTACAACAACTGAAATGGCTTCAAATGATTGAACTTGTTGAAATCATACAAAGAAAGGGAATTTTACCCAGTCAGCAGGATCCGAGTTCCCATTAAGAAGCTTAAGGTTCTCCTCTTTAGGCTTGCTCACATCCTTGTTTATTGGTAACAACAAAGTTGCTCCACTACGATCAGGCAATTCTACACGAAGAGGAACGCCCCAGTTAGCACTGAAATTGTGTGCAATAACATAGTTTTAAGGTTACCAAAAGAGGAGGATGTAAGCTAACCTGGTAACTTTTTGTCAAGAAAGAAAACCACTAAATTAACAGTATACCTGAAACAAATACACAAGTAACCACGTTAACGTTTATTTTAAAAACCAAGATACTCCCTCAAATAAAAATTCCTTCATGAGTCAGATTCCTTTACCATGCCACAACAACATCAACAGAATAATGTTTGCGGGAAGCCACTATCAACAAACTCTGAATAACAACTGTTAGCCACGCAAGTTGTTTTACAAACCTGTAACAACAACAACAAATTAAGTAACTGAATGGATTCGGCAAGGAATTATCAAGGGACTCTTCCCATAAAAAGGTGTGTTGAGGTCACAAAATTATATAAAAACGGGACACATCATGAATATCAATAGAAATTCGAAAACAACTTGACAATAACAATCTACAATGCAGATACCCCACTACCTACCCTCACAAGCAGAAAGCCATAACAGGAGTAAACAGCAAGGAAATCTTTGACTCTAGCCAAAGGGCACAAAGACAAGTTATTAAATACATAAATCACAAGTTCAATCGCCACAAATTTTCTTACGATATTTCAAGTCCATACGTACATATTCTGAAACCTTAACAAAACGTTATCGAAAATCATAAAACAAGTGTCCAGAATATCTTTAACATTCAACACGTGTAACAGAGAATTGCATATTAAAATATGAAAAACTTTTCCATACTAACAAGTAACAATATTATCTCCACTCATTTTTATACAGTTCACACTTCAAAACTACCATGCAAACTTAAATTTTGCAGTTTGGGAAACTTAATACTGCAATAATGTTTTCCCCAAGAGAACAAGAAATCAAAATATTTCCTTAAAGCATACTATTAACAAAGACATCGTCAAATTAAGAAGGCACAGGTTATCAAGTATTTAGTTGAACAGACTATATCGCTGAAAAATCATATACCTCCGCGTGCCATATTTATGATATGTCCGCACAAAGACAAGAGAGAAGATCATGTGAGACGAAAATATCAAATCCCCACAGCCGTAAAGCACTCCTCGAGGAACTGCATCCATAAATAAATTAAACAATGAATATAAGAGGGAACTACATAACCGACAATATAAATGACATCAAAGAAAAACATTAACCCTGCCACGTACAGTTAATTAATAAAACTTCATAAGCATTTTTAGGAGGGGGAAGCCGGGCAAGCTTTGAACCCTGCCAGAATAAACACGTAATTAGTATTTTGGTAAAAGCTACTACTTTTAACATAATACATACATAGGGGAATCTAAGAAACAGACCTCGCGACAATGATAGTTTGGACCGGGAAGCTGAGTGGAATAAAAAGTGAGGATTCGAAGAAATTGACAAGCCTGCACAGATATTTAAAAGTGCGGTCAAATAAAAATAAAATGCCAAGAAAAAAGGCAGAAGCAGGCCTTTGACATTGAAACTTCCCATGGGCTTCTCAGTAACAATCACTTTGAATGATCATTATACGAATTTTACTAACACATAAAATCTAAAACTAATCGGAAAAGGTGAAAATTAGAGAAGGAGAAGACACAGGAGGGAAACAGCTAAGCCTTTTCTATTTTTCTGCAATTTTCACACCCTTTTTCCTTTCTGACTTCAAGACAAACAAGTCATGTCTTCAAAAAAAAAGGTGCATACATGTGCATACAGAAAATACAACCGTCCCAACAGTTCCTTCAACAGTGAGTGCAATACTACTGAAAACACAATCCGGTGATGTGGAATGGTTAATGGTACTTACGACGAGAAATGCCAGGACCCTGCACCACACTAAAACTGTGTAGATCTTTTTGCTCTTGAATATGAAAGGATGGAAAGTCCACTGAAAAAACAAACAGAAACACATTAGAAAGTTATTAAAACTAGAGAAATATTTGATTGGACCCATAAACAGAAATAGAAAAATTAGCTGGCAACAGAATCAGTTGAAGTAGATAGAGTACTCACCAGGACAAAAGATACAAAAATGAATGTAAATACAGTTTCACTGATGTAAGCTCTATCTTGTCCAAGTTCCTACAGCGATGAGATGAAGATGAGAACGCATGAATTTCAACATCAATGTGCCAGAAAAACCCTCAGGCTAGGTTAGAAAGAAGAAAACAACCGCATACTCACTGGGAGAAGGTAAAAGCCGACATCTTGAAGTACCGGCCCAGGACGGTGCAGATAATGCACACCTCTAGCAGCCAAACCATGAATGTACTGAAGAAAGGAATAAGAGGATGATTTCACATCTTACATAGCTAAGGGCAACATTAAATAGAAAGCAAAGGCACACAGTAAGAGACAAAAATAACCAAAAAGACAAGATTCATAAATACACAAAAGATGCTCTCTTAATGCCATGCTCTGAATGTTTCATATAAGCAAATTTAATCCATCAGTCAGCATCAATGCATCATAATGTGCGAAGGCACAAGTCCAAACTATGTCATGGTTCTCATTTTAAATCCAATTGATACTCCTGCACCAGAATGCATTCCCAGAAACCAATAAAAATAAAAAAGGTTCAGCACCCTTTTGAAAGAGCAAGCAATTTATGAAAAGCTCATCTTAGCCGGCCAACGACCTAAACCAAATTAGAGAAAACAACTAATACACCGAAGCACGTCCATCCAGCAGAATGTAGAGGAGAAACTGTAATGACTTAAGTAGGAGGACACTGGAAACCCAATTTTTGAAGTAAACAAAACAATTTCACAGACTTGTGAATTAATGCGACCCCTCAAATCAAACAGCAAATACGGGTCATGGGCTGAGTAAAAATTAACACTTGCTCCGATTGTTTCAACGATCGAGAGTAATCGGGAGCCATCGAAGAAGTAAAAACACTAAGAAATTTATCAAAACTTAAAAAAGAAAACAAGGGGATTAAAGAGGGCAAACCTGAAAAATTAAACCAGAAAGAATATATATCCAATTCTCAGCAAGAAGGTTGATTTCTGTTGAAACTTCTGCACAAAATCTTTTCCATAGCTGCCCGCCCAAAAAGAAGAAGCATCATCAGGAAACGCCCGATACAAATCCTCCAACTTTGAAGAATTAAAAATAAATTGAAAAAACTTAAAAGGCAACAATAGAGAAAGAAGGAGAAGTTAGGAGAAAGAGAAACACCAACCTTGGAAGACTCGCGACGGATGTAAATCGACATGGTGTTAAAATCGTTGTTGGTGTTGTTGTACTATGTAAGATGATATCAAAGCGTTCCACATTACATCAAGAAGGAATTCATGCTATGGTCAAATTTGATTCTCAGCATCATCATAACAACATCGTAACACCCCACTTTTTTTGTGTTCCCTGCTCTGTATATTCTATGCCCCCTTTTCGACAATTTCACGCGTATTGATTAAAAAGCCTAGAGCAAATTGAGACCCAAGATTTCTTTGAAAGAACCCCAGAAAATTTATCAAAGATTCCTCCAAAGTATGAAAAGGAAAAGAAAACCCCTCCTTCCCTTTTTAAGATCTAGAAGCAAAACCCAATTCCAGAAAAGTCCAAAAATTCCACCGGGATTCGAATAGAGAAATGAATTTTGCGCAATGGCCCTCTAGAAGGAAAAAATCCAAAAGTCACGCTGGCTGGCTGGGCTGGCTGAGAGAGAGGAAAACCGACTCAGATGAAGAAGAAGAAGAAGAGGAAGTAGTCCGTTTGATTTGTCTGTCTGTAGGTGTGGTTTCCCAAAAATAAAAACTTTTTCTCTCTCTCTCTCTCTCTCTTAACAATTAAACAAGAAACAGAATATGCAACAAACAAACTGTATCAAATCTTTCTTGTAAAAATCTTTTCTTTGTTTCTTATCTTTATAAAACTGAATTGGGGGAAAAAGAAAAAAATTCAAAAAAAGATTGGGGAAAGAAATGGTTTTGATCGGTGATGATGTGTTGGGATTTTGTCTCCTCCGATGTGTATGGGGGGAAGATGATGGCGCTTTGTTGGCTTTGATGATGGGGGGTGGGGGGGTTTGGTTTGTTGAGTTCAACGTCTCTTCTTCGTCTGCTGCCACTCTGCCTAAAATTGCCCTATAAAACGCGAGTCGAACACGGAGCGACGGTTGAAAATTAGAATAAAAAACTTAACTCACAATTAACCTTAACACTTTAACCTCAGTACTGTAAAAAAAAACACAAATTCGAGTCTTACGATGAATGTTTATACAGTGATGCTGATCAATATAAAATAATTAAATAAAAAGAATAAAAATGGGGACTTTGTTAGAGTTTTTTTTAAAAAAAGGAGAAAAAAATAGCTTCAAAAGGAGAGAGAAAGGAAAGAAAAGGAAAAATCGACGCTACGCGACTTGCGAAAAGTGGAGGAAAATTCTTCAAATTCACCCTCCTCCTTCTTCCTTTGATAATGACTGCTCATGACTTATTCTTCTTTTTTTTTCTGCTCTACCTTTTTATTTTTTATTTTTAGTTTTTTTTTAGTGTGTTTTATTGTGGCCGGGTGCTGATGCCGAATTTCGAATTATACTTTTTTCTTGTTTTTTATGTCTTCTCCTAATCCCCCCTCGTTTTTCTTATTTTGTTGTTGTTTTTTAATCGGGAGTTTGTGGGGGGGAAAAAAAAATTACGTGCATATTGACGGCATTTTCTATCCTAATTGGCTTTTCTCAAAATGACTCAATTACTACTAGTAGTATTACATATATACAATTTACAATTTTGTTAAGAATTGAGATCCAATTGGCATATGATCCTGCACTCCTAATACTTCCAAGTTCCAAGTTAATGTGATATGCCGCGGGGAGTTCTGTTTTTTCTTTCCCATGTTATAAAAAAAGAGGTAAAACGGTTAAAACATTACATTATAACGTTAAGAATGTATTTAATAACCATCTTGCTGAAAATTTAAAAAAAAAACGAGTAGTACTAGTTTACTTAACATATAGTACTATAAGTTATCGTTAATTTCATCACTAAATAAACCGCGTGATTGATCTTGAGTAAGGAAATTTACCAAATCTGGAATGTAAAGGTTAAAATAACAGCTCCATGGACAATGAATGTAAGAAAAAGTGAAAAACAATTGTCGCTTGAGAAGGGCATTTTTAAGTTTCTGGTAATCTGGTTCAAGTTTGGATTTTTTTCCTCCCTCACGGAGTTACAGTGTAGTAGTAGTACTTGATCTCTACAACTTTAAAAGTTATGTTGTTGAATTAACACGATACAATTAAATTGACTGTTGAAATTAAAAAAAAAAAAAGTGATCTATATATAATGTCCATACCAAACAAATAATAAAATGTAATTGCATGAGTAACCTACTTTAGCAGTTGAGAAACTCCCCCAGTGTTTCTGATTATCAGGTTGGTTCTCTATTAATAGTCGTATCGAACAATTAAACCCAAAAATAGAAAGTACCAAACATTACATTGACCAAAAAAAAAATTATTATAAGTTTAAATTATAAGAAAAAACTGTATACCCTATACAATTATATAATGAAACAAGATAATGTTAATACATGTAAATAGTGATTATTATATATATCTATAATGGACCGACATTATTAATATATGGTCTCATTATAAATTTTCACTCGTTATATTATCACTATGGTTACTGATTAGGAACCCATACTTAACATGTGAAACTCCGAACCACACTGCCAATCTTATAGTAGCAAGGAGTATTTTTTTTTTTAACATTTAAAGGAGAGGTATCCAAAGTCACGAGGCACCCGGCTCGACGGCCAATGAACTGTTTCAGTTTATTTTCTTACCAGTCTCAGGCTGACACACACTCACATTTTGCTCTTCCTCGTGCCCCCCTTTTTTTAAAAAAAAAAAAATTTGAAAAACTGAAACCATCGAATCTAACCTCAATGCAAGCCAAACCATGGGACGACGATAAAAGCAAATTTGATAAAGCTACTGAGCTTATCAGGTTGTTAAGCAAACAAAAAAAAAAAAATTGTTTTTTATGTTCGAAAAAAAATAATTTAGTTTGTCATAATATTTTAATTCAACAAATTACATAATTATTTAATTAAAACAGAATAATTCTTCATTAATGCTTATTTCAAGAGTAATATTTTTTTTAATTCACAATAATTTAATTATATTGAGTTCAAATTTGTGACTTATAAATAAGATGGAAAACAATAGTAGTAATATACAAAGCCGGAACGGCAAATTGATCAAGCGTTATGTTGGTTCCACATGGCCATCATTAAATAAACAACGAAGACTGCATGCTCTTACCAATGTGTTTTTCTTTTCTTTTTTCTTTTTTTTTTTTAATTGCAGTACGGGTCCAATCCAAATCCGATACTTCCAATCAGTTATTTCCTCTGTCTCATAATTATTGTCCAGTTTGGATTTTCATTTTTAGTTCAAATTGTACTAAAAGTGAAATATCAAACTGAACAATAATTTTGGGACAGCGGGAGTATCTTTTTTGTATACTCATTACAATGCAATGCTGGATTTTTGATACTCTCTTTTGTATGTCTGTCCATTACTAGCAACAACTCACTGATCGACTGTTGGAATAATTGAATAATTCCACTTTTCATTTTTTTAATTTCTTCTCAAAATGACAAACAACTGAAAACTGAAAAAACAGAAAGGCCAAGGAAAAAGGTTGCTGTTTCTGCCGAAACTCCACCACTGCCATCGATTGGTCCAAACTAAAGAAACTGAGAGGTGAATTTAATTATGCTCAATTCCATTATTGCTAATGGTGAACATTGATTTCCTACTTTCATATTTTACCTCATTACCGACGAATGTACCCTCATTTCTTGCCATTAGTGGTAGAATGATAACTACTTTAGTCATCTCATGTTTCCTCATAGACCACTGATGTGAAAAAACGTTTATATATAAATATATTTTTTTTAAAAAAAAATGCAGTTTGTTTTTGTGAAAATGATAGGTAGTAGGGAAATAAAGGGAAAATTTGAAAGAAAAAAAAAAAACGCGCTGAAATTTGTTTGAAATGTGGGGGGGGTCAGTAAATGCAAAATATGAAAAAATAGGAGGGGTTTGCCAATAAAAGTCAAGAGTGGAGAACGTGTTCAAAGTCTGCGGGGGAAATATTTCCCCAGTCAAACTAAATGGAGGCGTCAATTATTGGCTACTCAAATACTACTAGTCTTCTAGATCCCCATTCAAAAATTAATGAGAAAAAAAAGTTAAAGGGTAGAAAATTAGTTCCTACTCAAGATGGGTATAATTGCCAAATCCAACTTGTTCACGATATTAGCTTAAGACGTTAGGAGTCAAATTACGTTTTGATTTTTCTAATGTTTACCGGTCAAAGTCAAATATTTCCAATTGGTTCTTAGAAAAAAAAAAACAAAAAAACAAAAAAACAAAAACTGAGGACTGTGATGAAGGTCATGAAACGATATTCTCCAATATCAAGTCATATCGTAAATTTGTTATAGCTAGCTAACACGGATTAACTCCTATTTTTTATTCTACGTTAGTATTGAAAAACAGTTTTAATGAGCATTGAATGGAAATTTAGATTGTTACTTTATGTATAGTGTTTAAAAATATTTTCACCAACATCGGACGCAGTGATTTTGCGGCATGGTGACCGTTCGACGGTAATTACAAGTATATTAGCATGATGTCAACTGTTAATAGTACCCAAAAAAAAGAAGTTTTGAAAAACATTTAATGTCCATGGTATGTTACTATGTTTGGTTAAGGATTGATGATGATAGGTGGTGTTTAGTAGTAAAATTTAAAATAGGAATGGGAAATATGAGTCCAATCCACTTTCTATGAGTTTAACATAATCCAAAGGAAAATTTTTATAACTCTAGAATGACAACAATTTATATTTACAATTATTAACTATGATTTTTTTATGTTATATTAATTTTTTTCCTATCCATTCTTAGGTTATTTTTTACTAGTACTATACACGTGTGTTGCACGGTTGATATATAGAACTGATTGTTTGAACGTGTAAATGATAGTTGTTGCACTCAAAATATACTAACACGAACAGTGAATTGCTACTACTAAACATGTGCGTATTCGCATCGAACATCAAATGAAAACCACAAAAATCGTATATGTAACTTTTAGGGGGAAAAATGAAGAAGGACAAAGAATTCGACAGGAAGAAAATGAAAGTATCCGGTTTCATTTATTTTAAAACGCTTCTTTGAAAATAATGTTGGTGG